TGAAAAACACTGCCCTAGACAATGGTCTAAGACCATTGTGGTTCTCAACCTTCCTAATGCTGCCATGTATTTTCATTGTTACAAAGGGGTTGCGACCCACAGGCTGAGAACTGCTGGTCTAAGAGTTCATTAAATTGTTGTAGGGCACTAATGGCCCCTTTTGCAGTTGTAGCCAATTGGTTTATTGCAAGCACTGATTCTCTACAGAAAACACAGGCACCTCATGCTAGGCACTGGCCTGTTCCCCAAGGACAATGAGCCTGTCCAGGTATGCTTCAGATCGTTTAGTCAGTTCCCAAATTAGCTGCCTGTCCCTAGCCATTTCTGCAGAAACAGTACTGGCTAGCAAGTGGTGGTTGTGCCTGGTGAGGAGGTGGCTGGTTGGGCAAAGTCTCATTTTTATCAGACTTTGATCAAAAAGCAAGCGGTGACTTCATGGAGGTGCTCAGAGATATCCCTGCATCCTTGGAGAAGTTGCTGGCAGTGTTGTCTCTGCTGAAGCCTCGCAAACAGGCTGCAAACAAAAAATAAATGTTGCTAAATGGTTATCCACATCATGAGAAAGCATCAAAATTAGCAGTATAAAGTAGCTTGAAGACAAAGGCCTGCTTCAGATAGCCTTGCCAGCAGTGCTTTTTAGCTAGATACAAAGACAGTCTACATTTCCCTGTGCTGAGGTCACATGACCAGATCTCTGTTTCTCAAGCCAGCACTGAAAATAGAAAATTGAACAATTTCCTGATCACCATCTCTGTTTCTCAAGTCAGCATTGAAAATAAAAATTGAACAATTTCCTGATCACTATCTTTTTAGATTTTCTTCTGAAAGTTTATCAAATATCTACTCTATTATTCTGTCATCATGAATAAGCCTACTCATCTGAACTTGTAGCCATCCTTGCTTCAAAGCCCAGCTGTCTTGACCTTGTAACAGCACATAGGTCAACACTTCAGCTTGTTCTATAATATAACTATGTCCTAGAGGCATCCTGTTTGCTGCGGACTGAATTATGTCTCCTCAAAATTTGCATCTTAAAGCCCCATGTGATGGTGTTTGGAGAAGAGGCCTTTAAACAGTAATTAGGTTTAGATGGGGTCATGAGAGCAGAGTCTTTAGGATGGGATTAGTGTCCTTATAAGAAAAGAGGGCAGCACCTATGGCTCAAGGTATAGGGCGCCAGCCCCACACACCAGAGGTGTCAGGTTCAAACCCGTCCCTGGCCAAAAACTGCAAAAAAAAACAAAAAACAAAAACAAAAAACCCAGAGAACTTGCTCTCTCTCCCTCTCCTTCCACCCTGTGAGGGCACAGCAAGGTGGCCACTACACTGAGGGTGAGGAAGAGGGCCCTCACCCTCAGCAAATCTGCTGGCTCTTTGATCTTAGAATTCTAGCCTTTAGAGCTGTGAAAAATCAACGTGTTGTTCAAGCCACCCCGTCTATGGTATTTGGTTATGGTAGCCCGAGCAGACTGAGAGAATATTGAACAAGGCTACTTTCTGGTTGTTAATTAAAGGGCAGATTGGGGGAAGAAAGAGTTCAAAAATTAACAAATCCTAACAACTCCAAAGTTACAGCTTTAAGGGTTTTTAAAGTGTGGAGGCAGGCAGGCACTAAGAATCTGCCTTGGCAGTGCAATCTGAGAGCTGCAGCTGTGAGCTAAATATGATCCTCTTAGACTCTGGGCTCTCTCTGAACCTGAAATAAAAAGCTATCATTCTGAATAAGGAGATATATGTAGCTTGTTTTAAGGAGATATATGTAGCTTATTTTAAATCTTTTGACCACACTTGTACCATATCCTAATCATAATCCTTGAAACCCTTATTTTATTCCAGAAACAACCTCTAATCAAGGCTCTTTCATTATGCAATGAACTGGATATGAGGCACAGGCAACCTGAGAGATTTCGGTCCCTATCTAAAGAGGGCATGGAACCTTA